TGAGAAATAAAGGATAACAAAAGAAAGATAGTTCCCATCTAGAGCCTAAAGTTCTTATATCAAATGATACCAATCTTATGGAATTGGTGCTATCAACCGTCTAGGTTAGAATGACCTCAATAGACCACTAATATACCAACCAAAAGACGACCAATGTCAAATTGGTTCGATTTAAAAGGGGAGTTAAATGTGGATTTCTTTATCGTCAAAGACTACGAGACAAAAATTAATATTTTCTTTTAATTTATTGATACAAGAGGACTCAAATCTGAATTGTTGGTGACAATACCAAGACCTTCTGTCACTGCCACCAATACCCTGATAAAAAAATAAATAAATAAACTAATTATTTCTACCTCAAGGTTAAAATAAATTTACAAGTTGGTGACCAATCAATATTTAGATAAAAAGATGCGGGGGTTGAGCACAAGACTGGCAAAGGAACATCTAGGCTAAGTACTAAAAAAACTCGATTTTTGTACTCAAAAAATAAAAAATAAAAAAACTCGAGTTTATTAATGATCAAAATTCAAGAATAAAAAACTATCAAAAATACAAGACGTGACGACGCGAAAGAAACAAAAACCCTAGACAATATTTGGTCAATAATAGATATTGCGAAAACAACTAACGATAAATTTCTTCACGCCTAAAATAAGAAAAATAAATTTATTAAAATGTTCCTAAAATATCTAACCAATAATTCTACGGATAAAAAAATGCTATAAATAAAAAAATAATATAAATAAGGCAAGTAGGGTGCGATTATATTATTAAATTCTATTATTTTGATAAGATGAAGTTTAGATTATATTATTTGAATTAGATATAGTTTTTTTTATAATATAAAATTAGATATAGTTTGAATTAGAGATATAGTTTAAATTATATTATTTGAATTAGATTTTGTATTTGAATTATGATATAGTTTAGAATTAGATTTTGTGTTTGAATTATTATTAAATACTATATTAGCACAAATATGATTTACGATTTGAATCAATTCAATGAAATCTTATTTGTTATTTTCTCTATTTCCCCTAAAGTTAATATGGTACCAAAACTTCCAAAAGTTAATAGCGGCAATTCAGGGTTGGTCATTTGGTAACATTCTCATTTTTCATTTTTTGAGAAATATAATTATTTGGTAACTCATCTTATTTCTGATTTCTAAATTTTGAGAAACCAAGAAGTTTCGTTTTCCTGTTTCTTTTTCTTTTTTTTCACATATCCATTATAAAATAAATTGTACTTTACATAGCAAATGGTAGTATATAGTTGTTGGTGTAAGCATCCTTGTATACAAATTCTTTGTCAACGTCCCAAACTCGATTCACATGCACAATGGTACTTTTTTTTCTATATTTAAGCTTTTTAAAATACGTTCATTTTATTTTTTAGGCAAAATACACTTTTGGTCTATGTATCTACTTGATCCCTCAAGTTTCAAAATGAACACTTTTGGTACCTGAGGTTTGAGGTAGGTGTCTATCCAGTCTCTGAAATTTCAAAATGAACATATTTGGTCCTTGATGTTTAAATAGGTGTTAACTTCGTCCCTGAAGTTTTAAAATAAACACTTTTGGTCCTTAAAATTTGAGAAATAGTTCTAAATGGTCCCTGATATCTTTCACTGTTAATTAACTAATATTAAAATGACGTAGCAAATTGCAATTAAAATTGTAGTGAAAGAAAGTGAAACTTGAAGATATTGAGAAAACCGTTGAGTATACAAATTTAACACCCGGAAATTAAATTTGTATATTAAGAATTTGATACTTATTTTACATTTGTAACAATTTCATTATTTATTTCATGAAGTTGTTTTTGTTTCAATTTTGTGTTATGTAACTTTATTTTGTTAAAGTTACATGTTGTTCAACTTGAAGTTATACTTCAAATGAGAAGTTTTTCTTCATGTTGTTAAAGTTGAACTTAATTATTGTGTGAGGAGTTTCATGTTTAAACAACTATATATAAATATCCAAGCATACTTCAATTGAGTATTCTCCTCCTCTCACAAGAATTCTCTCTTCTTTTTTAGTTCTTATTCTTGTTTGTGTTGAGAGCAAGTGTCTAAGAGTTCTGCCAGATCTGAGTAGTTCGAAGTTGCAGTTCTACCGGAGTTAGTCATTGTATCATGCTGAGACGATCGCTGTAGTCTGCTAACAACTTGTGCAGAGCGAATAATTGTCTTCAGGTCAGTGCTATTGAAGCGTGCCTCGACTATTTTTATCAAGTTTTGGTGTTCATCAAGTTGTTCAAATTTATATCGTTTGTAGCCAGTTACGTTATAATCTGTTTGTCAATATTACACAGTTCATATATACAGCGTATATTTACCCAACGGCAAATTATATTAATTAAATAATATATGTGTAGGTGATGGTATTTTCTCTCTCCTCTCCTCATCCCACCACGCCGCCACCGTCTGCGATTCATACCGGACATATATCATTTAATTGATATAAGTTGCCACATCAGCAACTATAATAAATAATTTAATTGCAATTTGTCACGTCATTTTAATATTAGTTAATTAACAGTAAAAAGAACCAGAGACCATTTAGAATTATTTCTCAAACTTCAGGGACCAAAAGTGTTCATTTTAAAATTTTCCAAAATGTTCATTTTGAAACTTCATGGACCAATTAGACACCTACCTCAAACCTCAGTACCAAAATTGTTCATTTTGAAAACTTCATGGTCCAAGTAAACACCTACCTCAAACCTCGAGAACCAAAAATTTATTTTGCCCAATTTTTTATTTTATTTTTTATATTTTTTAAAGAACAAATATATTTTTTAATTATATTTTAAGCTATCATATTTTTTAAACAAAAAATATATTTTTTCCACTTTTTAAATTAAAAATATTTTGAAAATTTATTCTTTATTTAGGCTATCATATTTTTTAAACCAAAAAAAAATTCTACTTTTTAAATTAAAAATAGTTTGAAATTTTATTTTTTTATTTAAATCTAATATTTATATTATTATATCAAATAAATTATATCGTAGGTTATAATTTCTTTAATGAATTATATTATTCAAACATATATTATATCCACTCAATTTTATTTTAACTAAAAATAAAAATAAGTCAACTCAAGTTAAAGTCATATATCATTCTATTCCTTACAAGTTATTGTAGTAAAAAACTAAAAATAAAAACAATAAACAATAAATTATTATCAAACATATTTTTGTTTCTATTTTTTTTTAAAAAAAAAATATGAAATAGAAATGGTTACCAGACATATTCCTCTTTCTGGTTCTAAAAAAATATAAAACAGGAAAATAGAAAACGAGAATCCTACCAATAAATCTTAAGTAGTTTCTAGAAGTTAGAAGGGGCAATTCGCATGGGACTTGGCACCATGATCACATTAAAGTTTAAGACTTTGAAATTTTTTATATCAAAAAAAAAAGCCTTTGAAATTTTTAATTTAAGTTTAATCGATAAAGTAATTAGTTCGGTGAGGGCATTAATTGACTAGACCTATAGAGTTTACGTGCATAAATTGAAAATTTTTCTTTTCCTATATTTTGTTATATATATATATATAGTTTTTTTCGTTAAAATACTAATTTAGTCATAGTACTTTCAATTTGATTCATGTTGGTTCTTGTACTTTTAAAATATGATCAAATTTATTTTAGTCCTTGAATATTGAAAAGGTTCATTTTGGTCCCGTACTTTTAAAAATGGACTATTTTTTACCATTAATTTGATTCTTAATATCATTTTTCTACCATAATTTCAGCCAACACGACGCTACAATTAATATATTTCTTAAATGTAAACATGACTTCACACCCAATATTTTGCATTTATGTGTAAAAGTTGTGTTAAAATTTTGCAAAAAGAACTAAAATGATCACTTTTTTAAAAGTCCAGGACAAAAATAAAAATTTTCAAAGTATATGGGCTAAAATGAACCAAAATTAAAAGCATAAGAACCAATGAACATTTTTAAAGTACACACGCTAAAATAAACAAGGCTCAAAGTAGAATACCAAAATAGTATTTTAACCTATATTTTTTTCAACTATTTTTAATAACATTTGACAAAGAGGAGATTTTTTCTAAAAACTTATTAATAACCCATGATTAAAAAAATAGTATAAATTTAAAGTTTATAATATTTGTTGATAGACATATATATTTTTTCAAAGGTTTATAATAATTTTTTATAAGAAATGATTGAAATAGCTATCTACATTAGTTTGTGAATGTCTATTTCCTCCCATACAAAAATATAATATTTTCCAACTTAATAAATAAAGTCTATTTTGGCATCACATCATCATGTTGCTAGTAAAATTATAAATTTTATGACAAAAAAGATTTAAAATAAAATCATAAAATAATAGAATTGAAACTTTTTAAAAAGCATGGACCACTAAATGAAATAAAAAACAAATATTAGGATGAATTTAGGGGAGAGAGAATTAGGAAAAAATGTGCACGGTTTAATTTATCAATAGTTTCATCACTTGATAATGAGATTGTTAAAGCATAAATAATCTTAATAGAACCACAAATAAGATCTAATTGAAATGCATCAAACTAATATAAAACCAAACTTAATTCAATACCAATAATCTTAAACTAATTCAACAATTTTAACATCCAAATGATTAAATAAATCTACGTGCGTTATTATCAACCTAAACATAGCTCAACTTGTTAAAGCATATATCTCCAACTAAAAAATCATACGTTAGAAGAAAAAAATTATATTCGCGGTATTAACGCAATGTAATTATTTAGTTGAATAACACCCACAAGTTATCAATCAATTAAAAACATGTCTTGCATTGTGTCCATCTATTGTTGATCTATGTGATGAAATTCATGAATGGTTAGGTATACTTCACTGTCAAGAAAATTTTGTCAATGTAAGTGAGAGAAAAATATAGTTGCTCAATCCTATAAATATTTATTTTCTCTTGTTCAAGCTTCCACTCCATTATTAAATCTTTACCACATAATAATGATGTCTTTATCATTCCATTATTGTAATCTTCCTAAGGAGATCATCTCAGCATCAAAGAGAATCCAAATGTTTCAACATGCAACAGCCAAGAACAACAGAATGAGTGGTTTAACTAACATTGCTAAAACCACAGCATGTAAGATGATAATGGATCAAATTCATGCCTTTTCCCCGACTATTATTTTTTATTTTTTTTCGTTCTTATCAATATTTATGAAGTTCAATCTCAAAACTAGTGAGAAATCTTCAAGATTGTGACTTTTTTGGCTCATCGATCTTGATCGGATCACTTTTTTTTTACTAGATGCTCGTTCGGACTTTTGAACTCTGATACCATATTAATATTTATGGTTCCATTTCAAAATCAATTGATAATGAGCGGAGTAGTTCATGTCTATTATAAATGTAACATTTATAAGTTCTCTTTTCTTTTAAATGCGAAATCCTTAACAACGGTTTACAATCTATTCTCTTTTTTCTTTGGCAGCTGCACTTACAAATGGAGATACTCCTAAACCAACAAAGGTTGACATAACTCTCAAGGACTTGACAATGGAAGAATTGCTAGACGATGGTCGAGTTTATGAACATCTCTTCTTTTTCAAATCATATGAGTTGGGACTTGATAATAAAGCAACCCTGGTTTCCATTACCAACAAATTACAGGTTCTAATATTCTTCTTTTATCTTTTTATGTGTGTTGAGAGGGAGAACTTAATCATTTAGACGAAATAGGACTCGTTTGGTAACGTTCTTGTTTCTTGTTTCTATTTCTTCATTTTTAATAAATAAAAATGAACTGCATGACCCCAACATCCATGAATTCAAGTAGGATAAAACCATATTTTTATTTATGTTTTGGAACAAATTTGAAATAGGAACGAGAAAGAAGAAACTTGTTTGGTTGTTTCAAGAAACAAGAAACAATAGTTAGTTGCAAAATGCTTAAATTTCTTAAGAAAATTGGAAATGCGAAACAAGAAATGAGAAAGTTACCGAACGGGTTCATAGTTTATTGTTTCTCATTTTCTGTTCTCGTTTCATATTTTGTGAAAAAAACAAAAAATAGAATTACGCAGTTGATAACCGTTTCTTGCTTTCTTGTTTTTTCTTCTCCGGTTAAAACACATAAATAGAAATATAAATGTGTTTGATAATTTATTTTTGCTTTCTTGTTTTTTATTCTCTTGTTAAAGTAAAAAATAGAAATAGAAACATGTTTGATAACCAAATTGTTTTAGTAGGAGTCGACAATCAACCACGGAAAGTTGTGGGTTAGCGAGGTCAGGATTCGGATCAACAATAGAGATGGATAAAAGGGGCCTCATATTGGTAGTTCATAAATTGCAACTTGTGGTGGCACACTATCCTTCTGGGTAAATTATATATTTCTTTGCTAAGTATCCCTTTNAAATTAAGAAAAAAATCTTTTTTTTTTAATCATCAAACTTCGAAGTTTAAGGGGTTTGTCGAACAAATTCTTGAAAATTTAAAAAGTATCAACCTTGTGTCTAAAATATCCTTAAAACTTCCAAAAATTTTAAATAACTATTTGAATTTTTAATTTTGTATCTAATAGGCCTCTCAACTTTAAAAAGTGTCTCGTAGGTTCAAGATCTGTTAAATACAGATTAAAAGTTCAAATCCTATTTAATACAAAATTGTAACTTCCATGTCTATTGGACACATTTTCAAACTTGAAGGATTTGTGAGATAAAACATTAAAATTTTAGAGGCTTATTAAAAACGTACATACATATCTCTATATTGGGTTTGAAGGAAAGATATTGTTCAACTACGAACTTGGACTCGATCTGACCATTGGAAGAATAGTTATCATCGAGATTGGATCCTCTGCGACTATAAAACTGGTGAAGTTTTGATTCGTGCAACTTGGTTAGCTCTTTTCCTCTCTATGCCTCGTTGCAATGGGAAGAAGTTAAAGTGAGCCATTCATTATTATTGTTTATGTTTATATATATTGCAGTTCGTTTGCTTTGATGGATAAAGAAACAAGAAAATTATCAAAGTTTTCACATGAAATCATGGCAGAAGTAAATCCATACTTCTCGGATTGTGATCCCATCATCAAACAAGACAATATGATCATCTCAAGAAAATTAAATTTTGATTCATATGATTACATCCATACCATTGTTGTAAGTTTTTACTTTAAAATATTAAGGCTATGGTGGATAACAATTTCATTTTTTATTATTTTGTTTAAAAAAATTAGGCTGGATTATTCTTCACAATTTCTTTGATATGTTTTTCACCTTCTTTAAGAGTCAAATTTGAAAAACAAAAATAAATTTTTAAAAATTATTTTCCTTTCGTTTAAAATTTTGCTTTAATTTTGAAATGTTTTTAAAAAGTAGATTAAAAAAAAAAGAAATACATGAGTAAGGTTTATAAGCTTAGCTTTTAAAAACAAAAAATAAAACACGAAACGGTAATTATCAAAAAAGATCACTGAGATTATCCTCTTAACTTTTTGAGAAAATAAAGGAAAGTCAAATGGTAGTACTTGTTTGGTTCCTACATATTTAAATATTTTATTTTAATTTTTGAAATCTATATCAAAAATCGTTTTAATCATTCCCACGATTTTTTAATAAATTATCTAACAAAAAGTACATTTTTTATATTCATTTATTTTATAAACATATATCATCATAAATTGATATTTGAAATTACGGACATTATTTAAGTGTCGAGTTTTCAAATGGATTTGAGTTTTTTTCTTAAAGATTTATGAAAAAATCATATTAACTTCACCCTATTATTTAGGGTAAAATACACTTTTAGTCTCTGAATTTGAAAGTAGATTTCTATTTGGTCCCTCTGTTTCAAAAAGTGACAATTTAGTCTCTGACCTTTGAAAAATAGTTCTAAAGGATCCGGGTACTAACGGAATGAGATAGTAGCATGGGTCAGTTGTATATTTATTATATTTATATTATTTTTAAATTAATTTTTATTTTCCATTTTTCTCTCCTCTCTCTTCCCTCTCCTTCTTCTCGAGAACGAGACCCAAATTGCCAGACATAACCCCAATCCCCCTAAGTCTCATCTTCTCTCTGCTCCTCACACCATGAAATCCATCTTACAAGTCGGATGTCTTCGATCCCCAACCTCTCTGTTAGCCACCGCCGTTGCTACCGCCTCTTCTTGGCTTCATTCTGGTCGAAGCCGCTTTGTCTTTCTCTTGCTTTGTTCCCATTTTCTGTGCTACTTTCCCCTTCATCTGTGCCATAGAGCTCTGCATCTAACCAGCTACTACTTGTTCGATCTGTTTATGAATGTGGGGATGGTGACGACGACACAAATGGGATCCTCCATTAATAAATCTATGAAATACAGAAGATATTTTGAATCAATTTGAAGTTTGGTGAATTGAACTCGACGTTCCATCCTATTGGGGTGACGATCGAGAAGGAGAGTGAAGAGATGGGATGACGGTCCAGAGAAGAAGATGGAAGAGAGAGGAACAAAAGGTGAAAAGACGAGGAAGAGAGAGAAAGAAAACGAGAAAAATACAAAATAAAAATTTCATATAATTTAAAAATAATAAATATACAATTCATCCAGATCACGTCATCATTCCGTTAGTTGTTTAACACCAAAGACCTTTTAGAATTATTTTTCAAACTCGGAGTCACTTTTTGAAACATAGGGATCAAATAGAAACCTACAAATGTATTTTACCCAATTGTTTAAAAGTTTAGGAATCAAAAGAAAATAAATATGAAAATTCATCGACTAAACTATAAGTTGAACTTCTATTTTATTTTAAATATGCTTATACAAAATGTTGCTTATTTAATCATTATCGCTCTGTTGGAAAGATCAAGAGTCATGAAGATTAAAATAATAAAAAAAAATTAAAAGTGTTATTCTTAATTTTTTTATTATTATTATTATTATTATTATTTTGACTTCCCACCATTTTGTGCATACTTATTAGACTAGACTGAGCGATTTGGATATGAATAAGCACATTAACAATGCTGCTTATGTCAACTTCATTATTGAGGTATGCTATATTATATTGATTCTCTTTTTTACCTTAATCAATTTTAATAATAAATAATTAAATCTTTAAAAAATTTGCTTATACATAAAGCAACCAATAAATTATTTTCACCACTTATTTAAGTTCATATAGTTCAAACAGAAAAAATTACAGCTTTAATGTAAAAAATTAGTAAAATTAAATTCTCTCATAAAAATAAATAAATAGAAATATTAGCAATGTTAGAATCTCCACAATAACCTATGGTGATTTTTTTGTTTTAATAGACAACAAGTGAAGATGAGGATTCGAACGCGCACGACTCTTTTTAGTCAAATATAGATGTCTAAACTATATTGGCATAGTGAAAGAATTTAATATATATTATTGTTGTAACTTGTCACAGACTGCTCCTAAATGGTTGCTGGAGAGTCACTATGTGTCAGGCATAACACTGAAATATCTAAAAGAATGTGGGAGAGACGAAGAGTTGCAGTGTTTGTGTGCGCCCTCAAAAGACAACATCAATGGCAATGAAGACATTTTTCATCTACATCACTCACTTCGTCTACAAAGCCTTGAACTTACTCGAGGAACAACTATCTGGAGCCCTAAACTCTAAACAATAAAAAACAAATAATAATTATTAATATCTTTCAAAACTTATTTTAGAAAGTGATCCTCACTTTATACAACAATTTGAAATAATAGTCTATTTTAATTGACACACCAGTCTATCAATTAGGTTTACTATATTTAAACCACCGATTTTTATTTTTTTAGTACATATTTAAACCACATGATGGACTATTAGATATATATTTTGATAGTTATCGTTTCACTAACAACCAACATTTAAAATGTCAATGTCGATGGAAATATCGAAGTCTCGATTTTACGGATATGTCGATGGACATGTCGATATCGATGGATATTTCGGAAAAAATCACTGCAGATATTGATGCAATTTTTTTGAATTAATAAATAAAACTTTCATTGAAGCTTAATTAAGCTATAATTTATCACTTTTACCCATCAAATCTAAATATATAATTAATATACTTTGGAAATGTCTTCGCGATCAAAATGTCGAAACAAAATTATGAAAATTAATGGAAATTATTTGATAAATATTATATGTTACTAATAAAATATTGACATAATATTTATATATATATATATATTTAAATAGCATATTTCTCGGTATTTTCTTTACGTGTAATATTATAAATTTGAGGGGTGAAATCAATAACTTAAACTAAATGCATATCAGCAGTTATTTATTAATCACTTTTATGAATTTTATACTATTAAATAAGTTGAATTAATATTTATATTTGTCTTGTATTGTGAAAGTTTTATTTGATATAGATTTTTTTATAAGTTTTCTTTTTTATATAGATTTGATTTACGATTTATTTACTTGCTTTTCTTAATAAATGTCTCTTAAGATTTTAAAAGTAATTAGAAAATTAAAACTACTATAAAATAAAATAAAAATATAATCAAATAAAATACTAAATTAAAATTCAAGCTTGAAATTGGAATTGAATTATTTGAAAGTAGTTTTTAGTTATATATGGAAGAGAGAATCATGGGAAATAGGTGAGAGATGCCAAACTTAGTGGAAAAGTTGGTAAATAGATGAGATTTGAGAGTCATGGCAACCTAATTTGAAAAAAAAAAAAAAAAAATTGGACACCATTATTTTATTTCCAATAGAAAATTTAATCTCTCACCTCTGTAATTACTGTAAAACGATATTCTAAAGCTAAACCACTATTTTAACATTCATAATTTGTATTTGTGTTTGATTTAATTTTAAACCTAAGTAAAAATATTTTTTTACCCTTATTTGAAAAATTGAATTGAAATGGAGGACAGATTCAAAGTATTTGTAAAAATGGAAGATAAGAATTTAAAATCGCAATGTTATTTATGAATATAGGTCACGTGGCATACAGTTAGCCACGCCATCACCATTTTCTCTGCTTCCATTAACAACCGAACAGAATCCGAATCTATGGAGTTTCTTCCAATTTCCTTTCCTTTCAGTTTCCCATCTTCCTTCTTCTTTCCACTTCGTCTTCTTCCTCCATCACACTCTCCTTTACCGCCTTCCCTTCAACTACCATGGAAGAATTTCAATTACCTCGAGAACCGAAATAAATGAAGCGATTGAGTCGAGAAATCCAAATCCGCACTCACTCCTCACAGCTATGGCGGTTACTCAGTTTCTCTTGGCTTTAAAATTCCTCTGCAAGTTTTATCTTTCATCTTCGATTCTGGAAGTCGACATGACAAGGAAGGAAAAACGATTTTCCCCCCTCATCGATATGTCGACTAGGTCGACACGTCGACATTTTAAACACTGCTAACAACAATTTGGTTTTTTTTTTTCAAATAATTTTACATATTAATAAGGTCATTTCTACCGCTAGCTGGCCTTTCAAATTTCCAACTTTGTCTCTTATAATGCAAGATCAATATTGGTTAATAACTTTAAAAAATCATGACGCTTAAACATCACAAAAAAGGAAAGTTCATGAAGGTTTAAAAACGTCATGAAAATAGATTTTGAAAACTCGTTATATGACAATTAAAAAGTGTCACGTAAAACAAATTTCGCGATAGTAAAAAAGACGTCACGAAAAACGAATTCAATGATATTTAAAAAAATGCAACGAGGGAACTATTCTCAACGTCACGAAAACACGAAATTATATAACAAAGTTTATATATAAGAACAAAGTATGATACAATTTGCTGTTAGAATGTTTTTTACATATATACTACAATTACATTGACATAATGAAACAAAAAAGCTTAATCATCATTGTCTCAATAACATTAGACTTTATTAAAAAATAATAACAATACATAAAGGTCAAATATGAAACTTTTAAAAGAATAAGAACGAAATTGGCCCAAAACATTAGAGACTAGGTTTGTGATCTAGAGGGAGAGAGAAGAAAGAAAGAAAGAAGGAAAAAAAAAGAAAAAAAAAAGCTATCGAAGATTCGCCCAATTAACAGAATTTGAGGTCTCTTGATCACAATAATTTACGTCTCAAGTTCAAACTTTTCAATGAGCTTAATACCATAAACTCTTGATATCTCCTAAGTCCAAGCCTTGGGACAGGCACAGATACCCTTGAATATTGGGAAGCAAAGCTCCGACTCCCAGTAATAATAAATAAATAAAAATCTCCCAACACTCAAAATTCAAAGAAACGCCCTCATTACAAGACTCAATCTTACCAAGAAACTTTTAAAGTAAAAAGTCAGAAGCCATAAAATAAGTCTGCCACAAAAAGTGCCCCCTGTCACAAAAGGGAGGGTATAACAACACCTCCTCCAACATTCCCCTACACTCCCTAGCATGGACCTAAGACATCCCAAAACATGTAAAGAAACGACGCTATAAATCCTACGCAAACTGACAAGTCCACAACAAATACTTAAGGTGTCCCTGCAGAGAACACACCATTGCGGGCCCAGGCAAAAGGGAGATATCCTCTAGACTCGATCCAAAGTATTGACTTTCCCGAGTAAGGCTTGTAAGGCTTGTATAATGCTCTCTAGTTGGCCTGAAAAGTTTTTATTTTGGACAATGCTACATAACAGACATGAACATCAATTTCTCCACTGCTCTCTAGTTGGTAGGATACAAGAATTACTGGCTTGCAAAGTATCTCAACCATTCTACCTCCAGTAGCTTAGCAAATGGGACTAGTAGGTATCCTGTGTTCACCGCCGAGCCTCACTTAGCTAGAATAGTCAACCACCCGACTCGTCTTCACCACTAACCTCGCTAACGCATATATCTACTACTTATGTTACTCTCCACCTTAGCCGCTAAGCATGCCCATTAGCATGCGGTAGCTCAACCTACTTCATGGACTCAACCCACCAAGTGAGACTAAGAAGCTATCTAAACATGACGTCGGAAGGAAAACCCCACCAAGAGCACAATAGCCGAGAAAGGTTAACTCAACGACTAGAAAGAAAAGTTTTCCATGACAACGATTGGACACAACACTCGAGGAACGCACGAGCTAGGTTTTTAAAGCCATCTTAGTACACCTCTCATATTGAACATACGAACTCTAGCAATCGTGATAGCATTCATCCTATAACTAGTAGAAAACAAGAGCTCCCAAAGTATGCCCGCTGTTACACTACAACATTATAACTCAAAATTTTTTTATCCAACTCCAGCATTGGACTCGGATGGAGTTTGAGGGCACCACGCCAATGTCCAATACTTCTCACTTCTCTTTTTGTAGGCATTCTCTCTAAACACATCCCCCCTTTCCTCCCATTACATTGACATTTTTTTCTCCAATTAAACGAACATTACTGTACACCTTACTTGAACCAAAGATTAATTTTATATCCATAAGATTCTATACTCAAATGAAGAGAGACATTTACCAAAATAAATAGGAAAATGTTACACATATTTACTGGTCAATATAGCAGAAGTGACGTGTAAATAATTTTCTTTCCCTAAAGTAATAACTGTGCACCAATAGCAGAGATATTTTCCTGTTATCACACGCATAAATATTCACTATCAAAAGATGGTTCCACTAATAAATATTATTAAAAATAAAACACCAAACTATAAATACACGGTATAGTTAAAGTAGGAACATGCATGTGTATTGGTTTCGTCAAGTCCATGATTGCAGAGAGAACAGAAACACAGTAAATGAAGGTTTTTGTAGAGCTCTTAACACAGAAAGAGGAGAAGAAACCAACTGGGGATGATTATTGCTGATGGCCAAATTTACAATTTGCTCAAATGCAGTCAGATTTCCTAATTTTTTCTCCCTTCACACAAGATAATATGGTACCCATGCCTGCATTGCACCAAATAAAAAACATGAGCTATGTGGCGCATTGATGGTTCACCGCAACATCAAGAGAGTCTTAAAAGGTAAACAGACTTTGGAAAGAGGATCCAAAAGCATGATCTAGGTAACTCGCTATCGCAATTGTCACTATATTATCTCAGTCAAGGTTCAGTAACGATTTAGTTTTCAGTTTTTCAAAATGAATTGCTTGTTTCTAAAACTTTGGAAACACTCCAATTCCTAGCCAATTTGTTAGGGGAAAAACAAAAGCAAATATTTTAGAAGCTACTTTTCTTAATGTTTTAAGTTAGGCTAGTATTTTATAATCATTCTCAAAAAGTAGAGTTCAAACCACAAAAAAATAAAACAAAAAAAATAGTAAAGTTGGTAAACAAACGTTTTTTTCTGAAAACAAAATAATATAACCATCATGGTGGCTCATTGGTCCAAATGGACTAGGGTAATTAAGAGGGAATAGGTTTAAACCCCATGATGGCTACCTACTTTAGGAAGTAGTAATTCTTATGTGTTTAATAAGCTCACAGATAACCTCACTAGATCTCTCCAACCCCTAAAGACTATTATTTCTCACACAAAAAAACGATCCCAAATATCTTATGCAAACTAAAAAGACCATAAAATATTGTCAATATCATCCAAAGCACCTTTGAAAAGCCACCACTGAGGCCCCAATAAAAGAATACTTTTGGATACGATCCAATGTATTGACTTTCCCATGTAAGATCTGCATCCCAAAGAACTTCATTTTTTCTGGAATTTTGACCTTCCAAAGCAAGGCAAACAACGGGAAAAAAGGGTGAAGAGAAGTAGAACTCAACAAATGGAAGAAAAAGCTACTGAAAAACCACTTGGAGGGATTAGGAGCCCAGACTAGAAAATCATTCCCCAACAAAAAGGAACATTTGCCCACATAAGAAGTTGGGTCGAAACCTCCAAAGTCTCTATTCGTAAAGGGTCACCTGAGACCAAAGAAAGCAAAGACACACTCCTCCCCAACACAAAAACCGAGGCTACCGAATGCATCCTCTTATCAGAGAGGTGGTAACCACTCGAAAATAAATGGCAAAGGGGTTGGCCTCCCACCCAACTCTCCTCCAGAAGTAGGTATTAGACCCATCCCCCACAAACATCTCAAAAACTGCAAAGAGAAGGGTGAACCAGACGAAAAAGCCTTCCAGGGATTTCTAGCACACACCTTAAGTCCACTTGCTAGGACCTAGTCAAAAGGATGCAGCTCATATTTGCTCACAATAGTCCTATGCCCCAAGGTACTAGGTTCTTGAAAGAAATGCAACGACCATTTAGGCAACAAAGCCTCATTCCTAAGCATCACATTCCCAGTACCCAAACCCTAGCCCCCACCTCCAAAGGTCTTGAAATGGTTTCCCAATTAACTAAATGCAACCCACCCCCTCATCCACCCCTCCTAAAGGAAATCCCTAATCTTCTCCAAGCTCTTGGTTAGAGACTAGTTTATATATGATTAAAGGTCAAACAAAAACAATATACCTTTTCTTGGTAGGTGTGAGATCCACTAAACATAAATCCAATTTTTCGATTTTTTCTAACACAAGAATCTAAAACAGGGACAAATAGTATGTTAGCAAACCACTTAGAACGGCCTGAACAGGCAACCTCCCCCCTTATAAAAAAAAAAGGCTTTTTTCCCATTAAGAGAGATGCTTTTGGAATCAAAAATGGTGGCAAGGAGAACCTTTCTAAGCCTATCAGCTAAAGTTTCGGCAATAATTCTGTAAAGGCTTGTGACAAGATTGATTGGCCTAAAGTGTATCCTACAAGCTAATAATCACAAACACGATGAATGTCAATTTCCAAAAAGTAGGACACACAATGCTAGAAACACTTTAATTTTTTTTAAATGTATGTATATGTGTGCATATTTTGACATATTATCAATATTTAATACTTTTAAAAGTATATTATTGCCTTTAAACATCAACATATATACATAACATTCATGAAATAACCACCGTCAACAATATCCAGTATCCTACAAAACGTGTTTTACACAAAAAACTAAAAATGAAAATCAAACAACCCTTCTACACATTTGCCCCAACATTGTCACTTTCATCTTCACTCATTTGACTTGTATCATCAGTAAAAACTATAGCTTCTAATTCTGGTTCATCCAAAGATAGACTAACTATTTCAAGCATGCCTACGTCCTCAAATGAATCAAAAGAATCTCCAGCTATGTCCCAAAATTTAGTATCTCCTTCTGAATATTCTAGAGTTCTTCTTGATAAAAGACGAAGATTGTTGTGGACAAACATCAAGTCTTCTGCACATTGTGGGGTCATCTTGTTCCCTTTTAAAGAGTTCACAAATGAATATGTACTCCAATTTCGCTCACAACATGAGGAAGATGAAGGTTGCACAAGTAGTTTCAAAGCTAATGTCTGCAAAGTTGGTCCATAGCACCATGGACGGCCCACCAACTCTTAGGATCTATTTAGTATCTTTCACGTATAGAATCATAGTCAGCAAACTCTGCAGCCATTGTAGAGAAATTGGCAAACTCCAAGCATACTTTTGTGCGCTCTTCATTTGAACTAAAATATCTTTTGACAAATTTCATTCTCTCTCGAGTTACTTCCAAATCTTGATGTGGTGGGACTCGATTCTTATCTTCCTGAAGCCACTGTTCACTATAATACCTATATAATTTTAAAATATATCAAACTCTAGAGTGTGGTTCGAAATAAAAATAATAAATTAACATCTAAGATATAGTTCCAAAGTACCTTGGATTTAGAGAATGTGCCAAACAGTGTAGTGGAGTGTTATTTTTATTCCAACGGTCAATCAGAATTTGATGCACCACCCTATAAAAAGATGAGATTTTATCTAAATGTTTTCCTTTATATCTGTAGATTGCCGCCTTCACTTTTTCAATCATAGTATCCCACATATCATATATCAAATGAAGACAAGGTTTATCTGTATCACAAGCTCTAATCATATCATATATAGGTGATGTGAAAGAAAGAATGTAATCAATCTTATCCCACCAAATATCATTGAGTACCAAGTCCTTCATATGTTTTGCTTTCCCCACATCATCTTCTCTGTAGCATGACCATTTATCGCTAATAGCCATAGCTTGCAAACCACTCTTAATGAGCTTAAATCTTTTTAGCATAGTAATTGTGAATGCAAAGCGTGTTTCTGCTATTGAAAGTAACTTCAAAGACACAAATTCTTTGAACATAGCAAGCCTCATGGGATGATTCATGATAAAACTTTTAACCATCATTACATCACCAGAAGTTTTAGAAATCCAACCACACTCATTAAATACATCTTCATTACCTTCAATATTTTTTGAAGAACAAATATTCTTCAAGGCAAGATTAAGAGTGCTAACTACACACGGTGTCCATACTATATTTGAGAATTGTGATTCAATAATCTGCCCTGCAGCCTCGCAATTAGGATCATTATCAGTAATTATTTGGATTATATTCTGATGTCCCACCTCATTTATGACTTCTTTTATCAAATTCTCTATGAAATATTTATCTTTAACCTCACCAGAGCAATCTACAACTTTAAGAAATATTGGTACTCCATCTGTAATTGCCATAAAGTTTATGAAAGGCCTCCTCTGTGAATCGCTCCATCCATCACTGACAATGCTCACACCCTTTGTACTCCATGTACTTTTAATAGGCTGCAACAATCTCTCAATATTAGTCTTTTCTCTTTGAAGAAGAGTTGTTCTCAACATATTATACCCTGGAGGTACATAACCCGACAATAGATTATTTGCAGCAAAAGTAAATGCTCTCACAAAATGTGGATTTCTAGCCAACTGAAAAGGCAAACCTGAAGAATAAAACATCTTAGCAATTTCTGAATGCAACTGATCATGGGTTGTCATGTTAAATGACTTCTCAAGTGTACTACTACTGCTTTTTCTTTTCTTTGGTTTCGTGGTTGAAAAGGAAAAAGAATAGTCACTCATACTTCCACAAGATTGAGCTTGGTTATGGGATGGAGGTGGTAAAATAACTTTTTTAGGAGCATTCTTTTCCTTTCGAATTTTAGCTTCATCTTCCAACCTTTGCATTTCAGCAACATCTTTAAGGGTGACCTTCTGACATATCCCAATTCCATAACCACTTAATTTCATCAAGTGAGCCCTAACTCTTGTATAAGAACTTCTCTTCGTTTCTTGACAAAAATTGCATTGCCAAGAAACATTTCCACCTGCTTCATTTAATCTTTGATTTTTTGTCACATATCGCCACAATGGATTCATTTCATCTTCAATATTGGAGGGACTTATTGAATCAGAACGTAATTCATTTTGACTAGAAGGTGACTTCATCCTAAATTAAATTAACACACGAGTTTCAGTATATATTCAAGATGAAAAAATAAAAAAAGAAACGGCAGATAAACAAGAAAAATAAAGGAAGCACAAATAGATTAAAAAACAAGTAAAATACATACAAAAAAAAAAAAGAACGGCAAAAAAAATTTAAAAAAAATACCCTAATTCGGAGAACTGAACTGCCTAAAGAAAAAGCAGAGAAGGAGAAAAGTAGAAGAAAAAATGAAGGAGAAACGTTGTAGAATGTCTGAAGAAGCACCAAGAATATCGGAGAAGCATAAGAAAACGATGAGGAGGGCAGCCAGTGGAGAAAGGAAGGTTCGTGGGTAGTAGATATGAAACTGAAAAAAGAAACCTAATGGTAGTGGGCTAGTCCTTGGGCTGAAATATTTTAAAAATCTGAAAACATAAATGAAAAGAAATCCTAATGGTAATGGATTGAGCCTTGGGCTGAAATACTAAGAAGATCTATAAATGAAAGTCATTTAACGTGTCGCCCACGTGTCCTTTAAAAAACAAAAAAATTCTAAAAAAATCCAACACTTATTTTAACGTGTTGGATGTGTGTCCGAGAACCGACACGACACCAACACTTCGCCATTTTCAACGTGTTAATGCTTCCCAACCTACAAGCATTCTATTTTTTTGGGATAAGGCAAACATACGTTTCATTCATGGAAGCATCAATGACCCCCTTTTAGCGAAATTCCCAAACGCTCTCATCAAATCCTCCTTATTCCTTCCCAATTATCTTGATAAAACGTCATGGTCACCTGAAATAAGCTCCAATCTAGGCCTTTCAAGAAAGGTCCGCAGACAGTCAACGGAGCATGGAGATTCTAAACATAATTTCTCCTCTTCAAGCTCCAAAGGCAAAAAACTCTCCGTTTCCAATTGGTTATATTTCAAGGGTTGGTGAGAGAATCTTTCAATAATGTCATCTTAGGGGAACTTTCAAACATTTAGTAATAAGGAGGATATATTTTACTGGAAAATCATCATAAAAGGAATTTGTTAGTTGTGTTGGACCTAACCCATTGCACCCTAGCATGAGTCGTGTTTGTAAGACTACTAAGACAAAAAAAATAATAATAATAAAAATATTCCAATAGTAAATGAATGCAACAGTTAGATTACTAATACATATCTCTCACGATAATAGCATGTATCCATCAAGGAAGATGTTCTTCTCCCAACATTAGGGAAGAAATTCATTCCAATACAACCATCACGGGTATAGTGCTCAAAATTCAACGTCATGGTTAAAAATCAAGAACTAAAAACACTACTTGATATATCAATCTTAAATAAATTCAAACCACCACCTAATGTTTATTATAATTATTTTCTTAATAAATAATTCAAAAAATACAGTGGGAAGGACAGGTCATCCTCTGCAGGGCCAAGAAAGGTTTAAAAAATATATATCTTGTCTCTAAGTATAAACTATATTTTTTAAAAAAAGAATATCATAATATTTATAATAGTCATAATAATAATAACTAGATTATAAGCTCCTGTTATGACATGGTCAACTACCTCCACAGATCTCAACAGTCACTTAAAAGTTATACCTATTCGCTTAAAAAGTTAATTTCAAGCTCCCATTATGACATGGTCAACTACCTCCGTAGGATCTCAACAGTCACTTAAAATTTATACCTATTCGCTTAAAAAAATGAGTTCAGACCATGATGGCACCTGGGATTTAAAATCCTACAAATTTATTTTGCAACCAAATGCAGTAGGATTAAGCAGTTGTCATGTGAGATTAGTTGAGAGCACTAAACTAGCTCAAACACTCATAGGTATCAAAAAAAATAGCAATTCCTCTAAAGCTACAATTACAAACAATAGAATTTAGTGCATTGAACCACAAAGTTCTATGCTTTTAGATACCAGGTTAGCTTAGAAAAACCATCACCAAATAATTTAATCCAAATCTTAACCCAGACAACATATAAAGGATGATGAAATTTTTAATATTCGGAAAAAAGAACGTGGCCATAAAAGAAAATTTCAGAAACACAAACCCAATTGCAATAGTTACAATGGAAGAAATTGAAAGGACATACGTTGACTTGAATGGTGCACTGGTTGCTCCAATCGTAGTGCTGAATGCAACGTCTTGAAATGGGCCAGCCATCTTTCCACGAGGGAACCATCCTAGGTCCCCACCTTTCTTCCCTGATGGGCACTCTGAGTATTCAGCAGCTAACTGAGACAACAGCCAGATTGTTACAACGTGTTGTTATCAATTGGAAAGATACCTAACAGCAATCCCTAATTTCCATTCACCAACAAAAGTGCTTCTGGGTTGGTCAAAAAGTAAGGTATAATTGTTTAGATAATGTGGAAATATTAATCATTGCAATGAAATATAAAACAATGTACATTTGTTGTGTTTGATGGACATAATATGCTTATTTTTAAAGAAAACTAACACCTATGCAAGTTCAAACAGAAGTATAGACATTTAAAAGTATCAATCTTGGGTTGTGACCAAATGGAAGGCCAATGATTATGTTTATAGAAAACTAACACCTACGAAAGTTCAACAATAGTACATATAATCACTCAAACAACCACACTCAATAACTTCTGCATGTTGCCCTTTATATATCAAGCACCCCGAATTCGCTTTCCTTAAACAGAGTATGCGAATGGTCAACTAATTGACGAAGCCAAAAAGAAGAAGAAAGAACAGGCAACCTTAGCAAACTCAGGAGGAGGAACCTTGTCTCCGTTGCTAAGCCAACCGTCCTGCAACTTCTTGTACGCTTCAGTAATTTTACCCTGCTTCTCGCACAGTATATGCCTCGCTGAACAGCAGAATCAGAAAAAACAACAGCATGAGAATCAGACACCAAAATCCCTAAACGAGGAACGCAAATTGTAGCCCTCTAAGAAGGATGAAATAGAGAGAGACTGAGAGACCTTTAACATAAGTGCAGGTGCCGAGGCCATCGGCAGCGGCTTTGCCGGACTTTCCTTTCCCTTTGGAAGCACTTTCATCGGCTCCGGCGGCTGCTTGCTTCGCCTTCCCCTTCCCTTTGCCGCCGGCATCCTTTTGCTTCGAGTCTTTCCCCATTACTCCAAAGACCTAACTGATTATTGATAGTCTGCGCTTGTTATATTAGTGTAAATGTAACACTCACTGTCACGGTGTTTCGGTTTCGAGGGGTTTTTTTTTTCTTTTTTTTCTTTTTTTTCTTTTTTTTAAACTCGAGTTGAACCATTTGGAGGGTTTTTCCCCAACGGCGACCTTAATATACAGGAAAAATTGACAAAATAAGTCTGGCCTCAAAACACAAGTTTTCTAGTTATCTGCTGACATCACCTATTTTGTCAAATGACCTCCAATGCCCCTCCTTACTTCGGTACGAAAAGTTTTTAGTTTTCCCTCCCCCTTACTTGAAAACACTCCATTTCTCTCTCATTATTTTTCGTTGTTTTGCTTCTCTCATCTACAGGCAACTCTCGATGCTTGAACTCCAGCATCTATCGGTCTTCCATTTCTCTCTCACTATTAGGGTTGTTTTGCTTCTGTCATCTACAGGCGACTGACTGTCGATGCTCGAAYTCCATTATCCATCGGTCTTTGTTTTGAAATGTTTCATTGGGCTTGTTCTCATATAAGTTATTTATTTGTTTGTTTACTCGGTTGTTGATTTTTAGACGTGGAGGGAGAGAAGCTAACGGACAGGGCGTGAAGGCAAGAAGGAGATCGTTAGCGCGTTAAATGGATATGGATAGCTACTTCGAGGATGATCTAGATCGAGAGCGTTCATGAGCTAGAGCGAGATCGAGAGCGTTCATGAGCGAGAGCGAGATCGAGAGCGTGCATGAGCTTGATCGAGAGCGTACAACGAAAGCGTGCATGGACTTGATCGAGAGCGTGCATGAGCTTGATCGAGACCGTACATGGGCTTGATCGAGAGCGTGCATGAACGAGAGCGAGAGAGATGAAAAAACGTGAAATTTAATTCTTTCAATTGTTGGTTGATGTTCTTTAAAGGCTGCATTTATTTATTTTTATACTTATTCGATTTCAGTCTATTGAGAATAAACGGGTGCAGTGGAAAATAGCAGCAAGAATGCAAAACAGATAACGAAAGAGATCGTGAATAAGCTTGAACGAGAATGAGCTTGAACGAAAATGAGACGTCATCGTGAACGATTAACAGCACCATACGATAAGTGGATAAATGTGGAAGAAATAGTAATAAGTAAGTGACGATGATGATAATAAAGGATAAATTTTAGAAGTACAACAAAAATTATCACGAACGAGAATGAGCGTGAAAAAGAAAGAATACTGTAGGATATTGAGAAAGTAAGCACTAACAACAAATAATTAATTAATTAAAGTAGCAAACAAGGGCTCCATCCATCCTATTACAAAAGTTTATTTTAGTAGCTTAAACAAAACAACAACCATAAGCTACTACTAGAATGAGATTTTAAAAATTATTATTATTACGGTATCGACGTAGACGGGCCAATAACAGAGCCACCCTGTCCTCTAGACGAAGTCGTTCCTCCTTCTCCTCCTTCAGCAGTCCCTCCAGCAAGTCCCTCGTTTCTTCAACCCGAGCTAACATGTACCTCGTGTTGTTGAGCTCGTGTTGCGTTCGACGTAGCTCTCTCCTGAGCTGGTCGTTTTCTTCCTGTGCTTGTTGAAGAGGACCGTTACTTGGCACTCCGTTCTCCGCGAAGGAGGAGGGATGGTTTGAGATAGGACTGGTTGCTCCGTCGGAAGAGGAACCATCTGACTCGTTAGATGTTGACATGTTTGCTTCTGAAAAATAAATGTTAGATACTTCTAATCTGGATGTCGTTGTTGTGTACTTTGTGGTATCTATATATAGAGAAATTTGGTTGGTTTCATAATGGATGTGAAGACAAGGGAAAATTGACAAAATAATTAAATCAAAAATTGGGATAACGGGTAGGAAGAGTAATTAATTACTGCATTGAAAAGGTGGAAAGACAACTGGGACTGAGGATTTGAAAGAGCGCATTAATTAACCACCCTCTTACTTAACCTCTTAATTATAAGATAAAAGGGTATGGATACATACGTCTATAATGCGAGAGAGCGAGAAAGAGAGAAATCGAGAAAGCGAGATAGCGAGAAAGATAGGTTATCGTTGCGATAAATATACATCGAGAAGAACGATAGTAAAAGAGATCAAGAGCATAACATCGAGACAGCGAGAGCGAGACAACGAGAGCAAGAAATCGAGAACGAGACAGCGAGAGCGAGACAAAGACAGCGAGAATGAGACAGCGAGAGCGAGACAATGAGAGCGAGACAACGAGAGCGAGACAGCGATACAACGAGAAAGCAAGACAGATTCCAGATACTGAAGAACAAATATACTACTACAGAAATTGGGTGTTCTCATAGAGGAACTGCCCTATCTGATTGACTTACACTGTCCCCCACATATATGCATGCAGATGTCCGTGCCATCGTAATTGGGTTAGTACATGTCTGTCTATTGTGACCCGATGTACCGCATCGAGAACACTTGTTGACAACACGACGCTCACCGGTTGAGGCGATCCGTTGCGTTCTACACCGACCTGCACGTTTAACAAGTCCTGGTGGTTGGACGGGAATAGGCTGGTAATCAGCTGGCCTTTTCCATTCCGACATGTGGCCTACCGGTAAGATTGGTTCGGCATAGGCACCAATTAGGGAGTCCACATTGTAGCATGGATCGATCAACGTGTGGCAATTTATATTCTTGTGCCTCGCTGCTGCAATTGCGTGCGAACATGGAATGCCCATGTACTGGAACTCCATGCATGTACATGTACGGGCATTCAAATCAACCGTCCTGTCCAAGCCATCGTCCTCAACATGAAACATGCACCAGTCGACTGGTTTGACTGTGTAGCGACGAGACTTCTCAAACTGTAGTGCAAGTCGCTCTTCTGCATAGTCTGAATGAGAGGTGTTTTGGGTGGACCAGTGAGTCCTTCTTTCGTGGAACCATCTTTGTAGCAAGTCGTGGATGAACTCGACAATCTTAGTGATAGGTAACTCTCTAGCCTCTCGAAGGAGGGCATTTACAGACTCAGCGCTGTTTGTCGTCATGTTTTCATATCTTCTACCAACTTGGTAGCATCGAGCCCACCGTTCTATCCCAATTTCTTGTAAGTATTTAGCAAGTGAACCCGATCCAACCGATAGTATCTGGTTCCAGTAGTACGTGAACTGTGACTTCCGATACGCATACGCTGCATCCTGATACAATTTGTAAAATGCAGCATTCTTGAATCGAGTCTTTATGTTATTCCCTAGGTGATAAGTGCATATAGCATGGAATGCGTCCGGGAATATCTCACTTGTTGTATTGGTGATACTTACATGTCGATCAGATATGAATACAAGTTCTGGTGGGTCTCTGATCATGTCGTTCAAGTTCTTCATAAACCACTTCCACGATGCATTGCTTTCGTTGTCTACAATCGCGAATGCAAGTGGATATATTTGATTATTCCCGTCCATGGCGACACCTATTAGTAGCACTCCTCTGAACTTCCCCTTCAAATGTGTGCCACCAACCATAATTACATGCCTTGTGATTGATTGAAACCCTCTAATGCTAGCACCCAATGCCATGAACGATATTTGAAGTTAAGCGAACCTTCAGTCTCGATGTGGAAAATAGTACCTGGATTCTCTATTTTTATCGCTTCACCGTACGCATGGAGATGCATGTAGGAATCCTCCGGTCGGCCCCTAACAATAGCGTATGCTAACTCTCGTGCTCGATGGGCCTTGTCATAACTTATGTTCACCCCGAACTCTTTACGGACATCCTCCTTAATATGCTTTATCTTGTAAATACGATCAGTTTCAACAACTCTATCCTTAATAAGATTCGCTACGACCCAGCTGCTCGCCTGTTTGTGGTCGTGGTTCACAGTGTCAATCGTGCAGGTGTGTGCACCTACATACTTTGATATACAAAATATCGAAGATTTACCGACGGAGTGGGTTGCAACCCTCCAATTGCATGTATTGCCAATGCAGCAAACATCGAATTTTGATTTCGTTGACCTACTGACCTTGTATTCACGGTTAGATCGCTTCACTGCATTTGACAACACCATACGCAGGTCTTGCTTTGAAACGAATATCTTCCCCACGTGCAGTTCCGATCCGCTTGGTAAAAGGTTGTACCTTGTGGCCTGTTTTATAGTCACGGTGCTTGCGGATTGAGGTACTGGTATTTGGTGATCACAAACATTACCGGGCTCAGTGGATGAGGGTTCTACTGATGGGAAAACATGGTCTGTCAAAGGACTTGCATGTTGTACTTGTGCTGTATTATTTATTTCATCAAATGGGAAAACATGTTCTGTACGAGGACTTGCATGTTGTACTTGTGCTGCATTATTTATTTCATCTGATGGGACGTGCATTACGGAAGGCATGCGTGTCGCGGGGGTGACCAATTCCGAGTCTTGAGTGTATATACAGTCTAAACTGTACATGTCGTGCATGTATACGTCGTTCAACCCCCACTCCTCTACTCTCGTGTAACCTTCTTCTGGTATAGATTCTCCATTAGGAATGGACTGCTCTCCATCTTAGTTTAATCTAGATGACTGTAGGTCAATGCTTTCCCGAAGGACGGACGATACAAACAGTGGGACTTTAGAAACCTGTTTTTGGACTAATGCAAATCGGAGGTCATCGTCATCCATTACGAACATTGGCGGTGAATCACATGCCAAGTTGTACAGTACCCTAATTACCAGGTCGTACCCATTCTGGCCGACTTTCATCAGTCTGTACAATCGATTTTTCAGTTCATTGTACGTTACTGTAAGTGGGACAATTATTCCTTTCAGCTCACCACCGACATACGAATTTGTGTTGTCTTCCCACGTACCACCAAATCTTATGAATAAACTTTTACTAATCTCCATCCTGCATTAGAAGGGGACAAATATATAGAGTTTAGATTATTGAACAGACATGCAGGCCATAGAGTCCTCTATGGACATTCTCGTTCTTGCTCAATGACGTTATTGTTCTCGACCAATCTCGATCTCGCTAAGTCACGCTCTCGTGCACTCTCAATCTCGATCAAGATTACCCTCAGTCTACATTAATCTATGTATCATGCATTGTTAATGGAAGACCAATAATAAGCAGCTCAAACGGTATCTATTTAAAATGTACTTGCAAGATGGACGAAATAGTTCAGTGAGTGTGGGATAGCTAAAAAAAACGTGACAAATATGTTGGGAAGTCTGATGTATTAATCAACAGAATAGTTAATTTAACACGGGAATACACATTAATGGTTGTGAGAGAGTGCTTACAGCGTGATAAAGAAGTGTAATGCAATCAATGTCCTTCTGATGCTTCAACAACCGAGCAAAGAAAAGAAAAAGAACTTAATGTAGTGGGGGGGGGGGGACCTGGGTTAATGAGTTTTGGTATGGGAAAATTGACAAAATAAAATAAAATTAATGTGAGTGGATTGGTGAATGACATGTTACCATTACACTCTGCCATGCAGTTCAATCAGCCACATCGCATTAAATGCATCTGACGACGTGTGTGAAAAGAAAAGAAGTAGAAGCGACAATGAATAAAAAATGATATCGAGAGCGAGAATGATCCTGATCATGCTCTGTAACAACAATATCGAGAAAGCGCGCGTCTAGAGGGGACATATTGAAATCGAGATCATGTTAAATCGAGATCGAGTTAGATCGAGATCGAGAACGATTTACTTCGAGATCGAGTTAGATCGAGATCGAGAGCGAATAACATAGAGAACGAGTTAGATCGAGATCAAGAGCGATTTACATCGAGAACGATTTACATCAAGAGC